TTTTAATTTGTCAAGCTTACGTTAAATATTATATGTATAAGCATTGACTTACAAATAAATGGACGACGGGTCTAATACTTTTGTACGAAAAAAATGTCCCAGGTCAACCTATTTAAACGTAGTGACATGTAAAGGAATATGAAAAAGCTAAAACGTTGAATTTAAATTGTAATGTCATTGCAGTACTGCCTAATTTTGCTTGCAACAATTGAAAGGCGCAAAAAAACACCATATTCAGCTTCTACTGGAAACTTGCCAAAATGCATCATATGTTGCTAAAACTACTTGAACACAGGTATAATGGAGTAGCCTTTATTATTAATAAATACATTTTATACGTAAATGTTGAATTTTCTACCATTTATTACGAGGTAGGGTGTCTGACTTTTTTTCTTGAGTTTCGAGAATTCTCGTACCCGATTTCTCAAATTATTCGAGATTGTTTTTAAAAACCGTAAAAAATCAGCTCAATCAACTATAAAACTAAATGTGAACTTTTCGAAAGTTGTTTTGGCCTGGGTGTTCTGAGTTATGCCCCGGAATAAATTCCATCGTTCTTGATCCCAGATTCGATTCCCAGTAGAATCAATTTGGGAAATGAGCTTTTGTAAATTGGTTCTGCTCTGGGGTTCTGTTGCTCTGATACTCATGGGGAGTATGTACAAAGACTTTCCTGGTTTCAGATCAGGTGATTGTCTTACAATAGAATACCAAGACCAGAACCATTTAGAAAAGTTTACCAATTTAACAAATTATATTAAATTGATCCTACCGGTATCGAACCCGGCAACTTCTCATCTAGTGCCCACTGTGCAAACCGTTAAGCTATCAAGGTTGTACTATTTGTATTAGTATGCATTGTTTGCATGTGAAAGCTACAAATTGCTTAAACTTTAAAAAAATCCTATTTAATTTGCACTGTCAGTCTGCTTCAATTACCTTCTTTGTTTCTTAAATTGGTATATTTTGTCATTCATCCAACTTTTCATTTTTAATGCATTTTGGCGGTGTAAGATGTCCACTGTTAATACTTGTCACTTTCTTCTTAAGTTCAAGCTATGTTTCCTGGATAAATTTCTGTATTCTCTCTTTTCTATGCACAGTTCACTCATTGATGTAATCACATACTAAGGCTTTAATATTATGGTCTTTTATCAAGCTTGCATCAGTTCTGGTTTCCTTTCTTTTCTTACCATTTTCTTAACCCGTTCGTGCATAGTACTGAAATTATACTGCGTTCAAAAACGTCACCACTTTTCTATATGCCGTAGTGCTTACATTGATTCAATATAATTATTACGGTTTATCACTGACGACGGTTGATTCCGTCAACAGGCATAGTCGTACTGCTCATAGTTCATGCAAATGTTTCTTGTGCATGAAAAAGTACGGCTATGACGGTAGTAGGGTATTTGCCGTTGTTAGATAATTACAAAATTAAAATGCGCGATATTGATTGCGCAAGAGAAACGCTTTCCAAAATAAACACTTAGGTACTAATTAATAATAATTATTATAATAACGCACATACTCAACATTGCCCCGCATTAGGGAAACCCTGTGTCGCGGGTGCCATGGACACACATACAGACAACCACAAATTACACCCAAACTTTATTTCGGGCAAATGTATTTTCGGTCTTCTGATTCGTAACCCCGAGCCGTAGAAAGAGTACAACAATATTTGAAAGTATTAGGTACTAATATGTATTAAAACATATTTTAATAATAACATTAGCATCAAAGCGACTCTATGAAATTTTTGTTCTAAATATTTCAAACGCTTGTGTTTTAAACAATTGAAATTGACGTGATGGGTCTCGTTCAGTCTTTTACGCAAGCCATGAGTCGGAAAGAGACAGTTAGCTATTTGATTATTCTGATTGCCTTTGTAAATTATATTTACGATTAATTTAAATATAAATTAAATACTCTATATATTAGTGCATAAAATAACACTTTTAAATAATAACTATGATAACACAATGTAGTACTTACTCAAAATATGATATACCATCCTGTTTTTTCACTTTCGTTGAGTAATTTTTACAAGGTTTTACTGTGTAGTAAAACCTTGTAAAATGATGCCGTATTGTGTAATACGGCATCATTGACAAGCGCGCAGTCACTCGAACAAACGAAGACTAAAGCATGATTGACGCTCTGTATACGATTTTAACGCCCTGTAAGTTCGGACACTTTTTAGCGCGGACCCGACGTCCTTACACAATCGCAAAGAGGTAGGTATTTATTTATTTATTTAAACACTTTATTGTACCACAAAGTAACTTACAAATTTTCAGAAACAATTTAAATATTTGTGTACAAAGGCGAGCTTATCCCATAAAGAGATTTCTTCCAACTAACCTTTGAAAAATCTGAGAGGAAAGTTGGTTTTTGGGGTGGCACTAAAAACAGATAAGTAAAGAAATGGAATATACTATACTCAATAAATATACAGATAAATTTAATAAATCAAATGTACATACGAATACATATATATTAAGTAATATTGATACATTAATACATACAAACTATATAATAAAACTATAAATAAATATATCAAATGTAAATAAATATTTCAAAAGCTCTAACATGTGGAGTCTGAACAATCCCAAAACTTCAAAAGAGCACCCTTGAAAACCCGAACCGAAGGCGACTGTCTGACCTCGACCGGGAGAAGGTTCCACATACGGGCAGCATTTACCGTGAACGAGTTCGAATATTTTTGGGAACTGTGTTGTGGAAGGACGAGGGACAAATTGGTGCCAGAACGCAGGCGGTCACCCATAGCCTGGCGGTATTGAAAACGCTCACGTAGATAGCTAGGTGAAGTGGGATGGAACAGGATTTTATAGAGGAAGCAGAAAATGTGAGCATTTCTACGTAAACGAATAGGCAACAACTTCAACTCATCTCTAAACTTGGAAATGTGGTCGTACTTTTTCAATCCAAACACAAATCTGATACATTGATTTAATGAGACAATAGCAGGCTTTACACAGATACTCTATCGCGTGTGATACAGCAATCGATTTGATCATCTATACCTACACAGGGCGTCCCAAGGCTATGCCACGTGGAGGGAAAGTACCTTAAATACTGTAGATAGAACATTTTACTGAAAGAAGACTTATCGTTTTCTCAGGTTCTCGCGATTATTACATATACGAAATGAAACTATTTTTCAGTATATAAATCGCGTATATTTGTTTTTTCCAAACAAACCAACGTTTCGGGCCCTTTACAGGTCAGGTCAGGTCAGTCAACCGTGACCATAGAGCAGAGACCATTAAGTAAGGATTGTAAGTTGCAGTTAAATGTACCTAATTATTTGAATTAAATGTTAAATTTCACGGTCCTCCTTTTATTTAAAATGATAATATATATTGTTCCTGTTGAGTTATTTATCTTTAAAGTCGATAAAATAATATATTCTATCGACTACATAGATAATCAAATCCGGCTATTCTTCTTAAAACTTATCGATACTAGTACTAGTATCGATAAGTTTACTGTTAAAATAAGGGTAAAGAAGGCAATAACGCAATTAGTAATTATAAGAACGTTGTAAAAATCGTAATTCAAACATGGAAAAAATTTACCTTCATTCAAAATCTGTCGATAAAACTGTAGGCAACGAGTACATGACTATTTAAAATTTTATGAAAACTGGCATCATTAATTGCGTTTTTTACTTCGTTAGTCCTATTTTGACACATTAGGTCTTTAAATAAAGAGATATAAATAAAAAAAAGTCATGTTTTTATGATAGAACCAATTATTATTAGAAAATGACATTGATAATCTAAAAAAATAATTGTGTTACTTGGTGTTGTTAATACAAATACACAAAGACAAATTACTTTGGTCTGACTGGTCAGACTCAAATTCGTAAAATCTGGTGGCTTGATCCGTAATTGGCAGAGCAGTAGCCACGTTGAGCAACATACACTGGTCCAGTCGGATCAAACTAATTCTTTGTGTGCGTTCTATCTTTGCATCAATAACAATAATAAAGTTGGTTGCGCCGAAAAAGGTATTTGTATTTACCTCGCATGAATAGTATTAGCAATGGTTGATTGACTCAATATTTACTTCCTTATTCCATTCCCTTTCCCACACATACTTTTCTCGCACGCAAGAGCGAGACAACGTCACCCAAGTGGTGACGCCTAGCGGACGAAGAAAACTCGCTGACGAAAGCCATGGGCGCACGCGCAAGTTTATTGTTAAAAATCATAGTCATACCATACTAAAGTGAAAACTATAGCGAACCAAGATCGCTCAACGCACCGGCGTAGAACGGCCACTCGATTGGTTTCAAGAGGTATTCTACCGTCCGCCATCTAAAATGCGACTAAGTGAAAAAATTTGAGATATCATTAAAAACCATAACCCAGTTTTAGAATATTGAAATTGTTTAATGATATTTCAGTTATGCATCGTTAGGGTAAGTTCCGAAAACTCGAACACGTTAACTAATTTTAACTGTTATTAAAGAGAATTTTGTACTCAATCGTTTGCTATTAAAAACGGATATTTCCCCATTTGTCACTGAGCCTCGTTTTAGTTAGTGGACGCCTGGACGGCAGTATAATGTTCCTAGCTTACCTACTCTTATCTGTTCCAATCAACCATACTTATTTATTCATATGGAGTCCACAAATCGAAGGAAGGCATCGTTTGCATTCCCCGCATGTTTGGCCGTTTTGGACTACCCGTAACTAAATCGAGCCACCAAAAATTATAGACTATTTTTACACAAAATACACCAACGCTGTAAAAACATTATGATATTCAATAAATATAAAACATTAATATTGTTTGACCTTATAGAAGCAATCACGTTTGAACGATGAAAAATAATGGTACTATTGGCCTCTGTGACAAATTACGTCATAAGGCATGTAATTGTCTGTAATTAAACCGGACAGATTTTACCTTTTTATGTAGTAATTATCAGCAAACTGAAAATTAACTGAATAGATTCAGTTGTGCAGGCCTTAGAATGGAGACGTAAGAAGAAATAGAAGGCAAGCATTATTAGAACTCGATTTTCACAACTATGTAGTAATAATAGCATAATAATTACTTATTATACAAGGCTGCGAAGTTGTTGTCTGACACGAAAGCTTGTATTGAAACCTGACCAAGCGAAGGAGTCTAAGAATTTTGAGCGCAGCCAGGGTTTCTAGACACGAGGCGCAAAACTTTGCTGCCCAGCGAAACACACAACTTTTTACCCCACTATAGTGAGGAAAATGGTAGATGTATGAAAAACAGTTGGACTGTAACAAATCAGTTTTAATAAACGAAATTACTTATCGTTGTCAATTTAATGTCAACATTAAAAAGAATAAAATATACCAACGGATTTATATTACATTAATAATGTACGACAATCGTGTAGTTGAACGTGTCATTATGTTTTTTTTTCATCAAAAGAAAAAGTTAGGTGCACCACAGTCCATCGTCAAGTTCGAATCTCTAAGACATTTTCCACGCTAGCCTGAAAAAAATACTTTTGCACGCAAATTTCTAATGAGAAAGAAAGATTTTCCGAGGTAGTGAGGTGAAAAACAATATATTTATCGATTCTTGACGCTGAAATTACTGTCTTTGGAATTTGAGTTGTAATTACAATAATTAAAATAAATTTAATTTGTTATGATTTCTTTTTCTCGTATATTTGTAACCAAACAGTTCGAAATTTAAAATGACTTTTTTAAATACTGCGATCGAAATAAATCGACAAGTACTTGCATTCAGTTCGGATTGGAAATTTCTGAGTAAGTCACTCATCTTTATCTCATCTGGTAGAAATTATAAGATTAACTATATGTGTGTTTCGTGTGCAGGGCAAAATGAACAAGATATTTTTCCTGGCAGCCGCCGCAGCCATTGCTTTTGGTTCATTGACATATTACATGTGGCATAACATGGTAAGACTATTGAAAATTGTAGTAAATTTTGATACAAACAAATTGATCGCCCTGTATCCGTTCCTAAGAACCACCTAAGATACAGGGTGAACGACGGTAATCCCGGCAGAAAGCTGAAGGGAAGCGTCGTGACGTTTCAAGGCAATTCACTAGATTACTACCATGGACCAACAACTCAAAAGAACTCCTATTCGTGATACAAGACATCGTAGTTGTTTAATTAGTACCTATTGGTACACCACATGTGGCGTCTACGTAACTAATTTGTTTTACTTTGACGAACTGTAATTGGACGTAGTTAAGCAAAAAGGATCCAATCCACAAAATTATCAACAAACGATTTATATGTACCAAACGGTTCCTAAAGTCTAACCTCTTAGATCAGAAAAAACATCCAACGTATAAACATAAATAAATATCTGTGGAATTACATAACATTTTAAGTTTTGAAAAAACAGTACAAAGTACTTACAAAAACTGACCTCAAACAAAAGTCATTCATCCCCTAGTTTGCCACCCTTAGAGGTAGAATATTTTCTTTAAATTTAAATGAAACCACATTTAAGGTACCCTATTTCCAACAAAAAAAAATATCAAAATCGGTTCCCGAACGCTTTGAAGAGTTATCGCGTAAAAAAACATATAGTCGAATCGAGAACCTCCTCCTTTTTGAAGTCGGTTAAAAATAAAACAAGAGTGAGAAACATTTTTAAACATCAAACTGCCATATCTCGAAAGTGAGATGTGCATTGGATCCTTTTTGTTTAACTACGTCCAAATTATCAAAGCTACTTTGATTTCTAATGATAACAAAGAAATCAACTAGATGGCGCTTATTGTAATAATGTTTATGGATACTGCCGGCTATTCTTTTATTTTGTTTAGGATTAGCGCCATCTACTCATATCAGCAAGCGTTAAATTATAAATTAGTCTGCAACACACAATGCCATCTATTGATATGAATATTTGTTCAGAAAATGATTTTATCATGGTCAATATTTGATACGCAGGATCCGAATGAAGCATCATACTTGACATTTTTTTTAATTTGGTCGACTATTACTTATTTGACAGTAATTTCTTTAGACGGATGTCGGACGGAGAGCAAGAGTAGATACCTGTTTCTAGAATTTCTTAGCACATAGTCCCATGCCATTGTTATACTAAACACTTTTATGTGTAATTATAATTTAATATAGATTTTTGGTTTTATAGAACAATAGCCCAAACGGCGAGGAGGAGAAAGCGGTAAGCGATCATATTAAACATTTCCTAACGATTGCGGCATATTAAAATTTACTGTGGTGAAAGAATTAGAGTTATCATTTTTACTTTTAGATTTAGAGAGCCGTTTAGATTTGACGCTCAAGGCAGTCTCCGATTGGGGTGATGCCAATCTTGTCAAATTTAACGCTACCAAAACGCAGGCGTGTCTATTCTCCACTAAACGGAGTCCCTTTGAGCTGACTCCGACTTTTCGTGATATATCCATACCAATAGCCGACCGTCTCTAGCTACTTGGAATGGACCTGTCGTCCAATCTGAACTTCGGCAGATATATTGAATCCATGGCCAAAAATGCAGCCAGGAAGCTTGGCATACTTTCCAGGGTGAGGCGTTACTTCACACCGGGACAGTTGCTTCAGCTGTATCAAGCACAAGTCCGGTCGTGTATGGAGTACTGTTGCCACCTTTGGGATGGCACTGCTATATATCAACTGGCCACCTTGGTTTCGATTGACAAGCGTGCCAAGAGCCTTATAGGTGACTCGGAATTAGTAGAGGCGAAGCTGCAGAGCCTTGAACACCGCCGTAAAGTTGCCTGCTTATTGGTATTTTACAGGATATATCACGGAGAGTGCGATGGAATTACACGATTTAATTCCGCCTTTCCCTTTCCATCGTCGGGGAACTAGGCGTAGGCTTGGCTTCCACCTCTATGTTGTGGATATTCCAAAGATTCGCACGAAGCGTTACGCTTCCACATTTATATGGCGAACGGCTATAGAGTGGAATTCACTGCCTGCAGACTTGTTCCCTGAACGTTATAACTTGGACCTTTTCAAGGTGAGAGCGAATAGGCATTATCTAGGTGTGCATGCTCCATCGTCAACCTCATCGTCACTTTCCATCACGTGAGATAGAGGTCAAATGCACACTTACATTAGAATAAAAAAAAAAATTATTTCGACTCATCCGTAGAGGACCTATGTACAACACTACTTGTTCGCAGGGCATAGTTCATTTCGGTCGTTCTTCTTCGCTTTGGATGTCAGATCGACCGTTGTTCGATTTTGTATTTCCGAAACGAATTAAGATATATAAATTTTCAAAACACCTTTACTTAGGCCTTAGTTTGAATAAGGATATTATTCTCGTAACGTACGTATTCTATCGGACACTGTTCTTCGGATTAGTCGATTTGTGTAATGGAAAATAGTCACACGTGTGTCAACAATCTCACTTGCTATTTAGCGACGATCTTCTTGTCATATCAATGGCATAGCACACTATACTAATCTGCCCTCTTTGCCATATCTCAGAACCAGTGGTCGGAATTCAGGGAGTTAATTTACCCAAATTATGAACGATTTCTTAGTAGGGACATACCCATTTCTTCACCAATGCGTATAAAATTTCTTTTTTTACTGTTTATTTTCTAAACATTCCAAAATGTATGTTGTCTCGTGTTTATTATTCAAAGGGTAAAACTATTTAAATACTCGTACGTAAGCACCTATAGAAACACGACCGATTTTTAATATTATTTTTTGAAACAATAATTCGTAGCAAATACGTAATATTAAATAATAATTGAGTACATTTCAATAAATGACACGCATATTCAAATGTAATCAGTTCCGGGAAGTCCCAGGATTTATAGAGGGAAAGAATGATGTGGATCATTCCTTAGTTCAGCTAGATTAACTTCCTTAGTTCCGATCACAGCTCATAACTAACGCATTTCCATTTTGGTAACTTTCGATAAAGGCATTTCTTGTTAATAAATGTTATTATGACTTACATGAATTTTTTGATGATACACATGATGACAAATAACAATAATAATACAAATAAAAATACTTCAACATCTCTCATTAATAATTATTGAAATTAATGTATTGCATAAAGTATCTTTTCCATTACTAATTAAGAACAATGCAATGAAATAATGTGATACAATAATTTAATGTTATGATGTTATATTGGAATGTAATAATTTAATATAATTAAATAGTGTGATTTATGAATTTAGCCCTCAGATGTCGCCCTTACAGGGCGTCACGTATCAATGTTCCATTTTAAATTTGTAATGTGATATTCAATAAACAATTAATTGAAATTGAAATTGGAATATTTTTTTTTTTTTAAATGTTATTTGCGATATGTTGTTTGAAACTAAATAAGATATTAAAAAAGAACCGCTTGTAGGTCTCCTTACAATGATTTCAGATATGTCATTTGGAGACGATTAAACCACACAAGGCTTTGGTTGGTGCCGCATAACAATGAATAAGTGTTAAATCGACCACTTTGGAATATATAGTAAAATTGAAAATATACATTGATTACTGTACGGTGTCAAAACACAATTTCTAAAAATTTTCGCGATAGAAAAAAACACAAACTTACCTCGAAATGTTACAAGAAAACCGCTGCATTCATTACGTACTTTACATAAGCCAATTTTTTTTTATATTAACTGAACTAAATAGAACGCGTGTAGTATACGAGATACATTTTTTAAATGGCTTTAATTTCTTTTATAAAAAATTAAATTCTGAACTAAAGCCAGTGTCCATGACCCTCGATGGATCGAGCATCAGCGACACTGCTTTTTTTGTTCAACCGTATTAATACGGGAAAAATTTGAATTCGAACTGAGGTAGTCTACTATATAGGAGGTATCTACCCTTAACTAAATTTCTCTAAAAATGTCAATCACGTTTATGATAAGAAGTATTGTGGTGGGTACAGCAATATTACCGGGTTCAGTTTAAAACAACCAGTTGTGCTGCCTTTGCACGAGTTGAACTCCAAACAGGGCATGCGTATTTGCCAGCAGAAAATTAAAGTGCCGGCCCAGTAGTACGTGCAACACTTGGTGGGAACGAGATGCTGCAGTAAGTTATTGCGTGAATATACCTTTAGCTACAATGACATCAATGTTGCACTCATTATGACAATAGCTTCGTTCTTGCGCTGGTCTCACCCATCTACGGCGTGTGACTTTTCTTCTTCATCTTGCCGAAGGACGTTCCATGTTTGTGTAATCACTTCTTGTTTAACATTGAGTTGTGGCTGTACTGAATCTGTCATCACCACGTCTTGGAATATGTCGTATCTATTTCCATTACAGCTTCGTTATACGATGTCTAGGACCTTAGCTCGTCTTTGGAAATTGGAACTCAATTTCTATCCATGCCACGTTCCATAGCTCTCTGTGTACACAGTTTTTTATGTGAGCCTTCATCACCGAATGTCATGGTGGGCAGGAAACATTGGTTGAACAAGCGGATCTTCAAGTTATGTGGAGTAATCACCAATTCCAGAAATGTCATCCAACTCACAATATCCAGTTTTCAATTTGTTTTTTCTACTATTTATATTTATGCAAAAAACAAACACAAAAAGTTCATAGATAAACTGTCATACTAGGTAAGCCTGTTGTACGAGTTAACCCCTTGTTATTTTTAATATTCCTACGCTTAAAAATTTAGAAAGGTTATATTTTATTCACATCTGCCATCGGTTGGTAAACAACATAACTATACAGTTTCTCTTAATGAGTCAATCATGCTTTATCATAGTTTATAGTGGTGCTCACATTTGTTGATCCAAGTTTAAGATGATCCACAGTTTCAAACCTTTGGGTCAAAGATGAAATGTGACCATTAATATCTGTTATTTTTTATAGGCACGTGCTGATAGCTGTGATTTATTGTATAATACGGTACGTAAGTACTAAATTTTAATTGGTTCAATTTTTTTATATAATTATTAGTAAAAAATTAGTTCTATTAATTATGCTTGAATACGTATTGTGTAGTGTGAAACCAGGGACCCCTTATCATCTCCATCTCTTCGTTCTACCTACATGAACTGTATTCTTTACCTTCGCCACACGAGTGTCGAATGCTTACATACATGTGACGCGTCACAGGAGCAACCGAAGCCGACGTTCACTTTGATATCTACATCAAAGTGAACGTCGACTTCGGTTGCTCCTCCATGTCCGAGTGCAACTTGCTGTTGGACTACAACCGCTGTCTCATCACCAGGCTCGCTGACTATCAGGTCAGGCATATAGAAAGCAGTGAATCACTGCTTTCTGGTCCTCTGACTTCATTCTCCATCATTAAGGGCCGAGGCCTCCAACTTCATACCTCCATCTTCTCCTATCCTCATCTACATACTATATCACTCACTCACCTTACTGTAGAATACTCTAACATTCCCATATTTTTTATGTATATAAATGTATATTCTTAACTTGAATAAATAAATACAATTTTATTCGTTTCATTACATAGCTCTTTATCCCTTCAAAATGTCGTACGTAGGGCGCACTATAAGTTTCCGGAATGAATAAGAAAAAAATACTATAAATGGTCAGAAATGAATTTATTGTTTCTCAAAATATTCTCCGTTTGTTAATGTACTTTTTCATACGAATGAACCAATTTTTAAAATATTTATGCCACTCCTCCGTGACAATCTCTGAAACATATTTTTCATACTCTTCGACAGCCTCTTCGGGTGACGAAATTCGTTGACCGTGTAACTGGTTCTTAATTTTTGGAAATAAATAAAAGTCACAAGGTATCAAGTCGGGACTGTACGTGGGATGGCTCATAAGGTAAACGTTGTTCACCTTCAATAATTCATTTGTCTGTCTGGCCGTGTGAGAACTGGCATTATCGTGGTGCAAGATGATACGGCGTTTATGGTTATTTTTACGGAGTTTGTCAATAACTTCCAGCAAACAAATGGTCGTGTACCAATCTCTATTCACGGTACAACGATCCTCCAAAGCAACAGTAGCCACGTGTCCAGTTTTATTAAAAAAAGAAGCAATCATCCGCTTAGAGGCACTTTGCACGTGCGCCACTTTGGTTGGTTTCGGCTCATCTCTAAAGATCCATACGCTCGATTGCTGCTTTGTTTTGGGATAGTAACTATAAATCTATATTTCGTCACCTATAGTAACAGGTGACGAAATATAGATTTATAGTTATTAATTATAGTTCTACGTCAAATTTGACGCCCCTTCGTTGAATCTGGTAAGCATGGCATTGCACCAAGTGACGCGATCCGTTTTTTGAGCCTCAGCCAAATTGTGTGGGATCCATCGAGTGCACACCTTTTTCACACCCAAATGTTCGTGTAGCATTGATTGTACTTGACTCATGCCTATGCCTAAAGATGCCCAAACCTCACGGTATGTCACATGCCTGTCTGTTTTGAACATACGGCGCACAGCATCGATATTTTTGTTGTTCACAGCAGTGGACGAGGGACCATCACGAAATTCGTAACTAAGATTCACACGACCGCGTTTGAATTCTGCAAACCATTCATCGCCAAAAGCAGTTTGAAGCCGAGCAAAGCTCTGATGAGCTGTTAAATTACACTTAAAGTCGTAGCAAATCATACTACGAAAATTTTCACGAGTTATAGGATATAGACATCCAATTTGTAAAATGACGCCACAACGGAAACTTATAGTGCCCCCAATGTACATGGTTAATATTTGAATAATATTACAAGGATTAACATTGGTTGTCTACCAATTTCTAAAATGACGCCACAATGTAAAAACAAGTGACAGTCAGATGGAACAAACTGTATTCTACAGCCAAAGAGGTCCATTTTCAAATGTTGTAATTACTTTTTAAATATTGTTTATGTAAGTGGCCAGTTCCGGAAACTTATAGTGCGCCTATTGTGATCAGAGATCGGTATTAAACAAAGTATATTTACATAAATGTCAAGAAATAATGCTCAGAGTGTACAATAATCCAATATTAATTATCATTTAGATTTCGTTTTACATAGTAGGAGTAGTCACCTCCCGTACGCTTCCCGTATGTCTTTTATAATTCTCTTTCCCTGGTTATCATCATTCAACTGTGGTACTGCTTTTTCTATAAAAGTTTCGTTCCTTTTTTTCGACCTAAAAGATGATCGAAAAAAAGGGCTTGGGAAGGGAGGGAACCACAATTACATTTGGTCACAAAGTGAAGAATTCCCCGTAGACCAACAAAATTAATTACCCCAGTACATCAAGCAAGAACCAATTTAGAAAAGTACGTCTACCTCCTCCTCGTCCATCGCCCATAATACTAATCAAGTGGCCACCAAGGGAATTGATATGATTGATTATGATTACTCATATTTCTATTACTAACCACGCTCTCTCATACCTACGACTTTTATTCCAACTTTGTTACCGTATCTGTGATCTGTGGAATTGCCCTTCCTGAATCTATTCGACAATCGCCTTCACGTGATTCCTTCAGTTAACGTGTCAAGGATCACTTCCTTAACTCTAAAGTGCTATTCCTTCATTTATTTCTCGTAGGAATTAAATACTGTTATATCTCATTTGAAAAATAATAATGGTTATCGTAAGATAATGCATATTATCATAAGTTTGGCACTGCCGCCGTTAGTTGACAGAGCGGTTTCACATTCAACACGATTCCTAAAAAGTTTCGCGATAGAAAAAAACACAAACTTACGTCGAAAATTTACAAGAAAACTGCCGATACCGAAAATTCAATAGGTGCTTTACATATGGGCTTTTTTATATCAACTGAATTAAACAGAATACGTATAGGATACGATATACGTTTTTCAAATGGCTATAATTTCGTTTGTAAAAAAAATAATTCTGAAATAAAGTCAGTGTCCCTGTCGCTCGACCCAAGCAAAATAAACCATATTAGTACGTGAAAAACTTTTATACGAGCTGAGGTTGTATCGACTATAAAAGAAATGAAATTAACAATATATCTCTTGCGGTAACTTCATGCCTTATTCACTTCGGAAAAAAATAAAAATAGTGACACATCGGCTTTTTCTGCCAGCTGGAATCAATATTATCCACATTCATTTACTAGTACTGTAGTACGAGTAGGTGTAAAGGGTAGTAGAGGCTTGCTCGGCGAGCTTTACTACGTCCAGGAATCAAACGATTAAATTTATTGAAGAAGACTTGGTTTATTGTACAGAAGCTTACAATAGGCTTACAAGTGTGTCCAATAAAAGGGTTTCGTCCCGTTGGTTTCATTCAAGCGCGGCGCAGAGTCCGCGACAAATCCCGATGAGAGCAAATCTTACAAAAAGACACTGACTCTAATGTGCTCTCGTAACTTGTCCCGGAAGATGGGCGCGAGTTCCAAATGCTTCCTTAGTAATGAGGATAACCGTAGAAATCGTTGCAAATGCAATCGTTGAATCAATCAACTATAACAATAGACAAGGAGAAGAATAGACCAAATCAAATTTCAGACAAAATACTAGTGACAGGTCATTCATTACATTAAGGAAAATCTTAACACCGCGATTCAGAAATTGCGGTTTCTTTGCCAATGGCATCTGGTGGTAAACATTGGAACTATTGTTACAAATGTTGCTAAAGTTATGACGGTACATACAGTACTTATTATGTAGTGTATTAATGAAGACATTCTTTGGTTGCACCACTTTTGCATCTGTCGTCACGTGCAGTAGTCGTGCAGCTACAGGGTGCTGCACAAATTTTCTTAGTATGCTTAGAAACACTGCAGCACCACAGTCGTGACACGCACGCGCCACTTTTGCAGTATTGTATGAAAATTTGTAATCGCGCGGCTGCAGTTCTACACAAGCATTGGATGCATCCTAAGGCTGCATGGAAGTCTGCCGATTGGCTTCCTAATAAAGATTAATTCTCTGTAATGTTATGTTCAATAAAGAATATTTAATCCATTATTACATTCTATTTCAGGAACCTTACACAGAATGTTGTGACTATAGCACAGTAAACATAGATGCAATGGAAAATTTAGGATCACTGATCGAATGCTTTACTACATTTAAATATTCACTTGGCGTATGTATAACAGCTTTGTTATTTCTCTATGTTGTCCAACTGGTTTAGGATACCACGCCAATCACCTGGTCGCAAACTAGGGAATTTCCAGATGCAGGAGCAGTACCCGAAACTGTAGAAAAGTTCATTTCTCAAATTGGTCTTACTGGAAATCGAACCCGGGGCTTTCCCATCCAGGGCCCACAGTACAAACCAATGTGCCGAGGACATCGCATACATTGTGTAATACATAAATATTAGTCGGAGTGATTTATAGTTCAAATGTAAGGACAACTACTAACAACTCCAACTGGGTAAGGTCCAGAGCATATGGCGCCGGTGTCGTTTGAATTTGTTCAGTTTATTCAATCATCTGCCGTAGCGCCCACACTGCAGACCAGGGTCATAGCCAGGGTCATGGTCAGAGTCATTGCGAATATCGCTTCCGCATCCGCGGATAATCAGCATTCATCGATGCTGATATTCATTGAGGATGTTTAAGTCGTGACATGACCTAAAGGGCACGCTGGAATAATTTACAAAACTTTCAGAAAGACTGTTAGCCGAAAAAGCAGCAAAACCACAGATATCTAAATATTTAAATTTTTGTGAGCTCAATAACTGTTGTTTTTAGAATATAACTTCGATAAAATTCTACAACGATGAAACTGAGCAGATTGATTCTTTTGTTAATAAATGTCACAAAAACATTGAAATAATATTTTATTACAATAGCAAGAAATGTAAAGCTTTTTCATGTAGATAGATTCAGTGAGGATCATCGAGTATATAACCAGTAATAGAGACGAAATAAGTGCCATATATTCCTGGTAACACATTAGCGATACAGCTGTTATAAATATCAACTCCCGTTTTCACTGAAATATAGACAGGCCAACTACTGATCTGCGCGTACGTCTCCGTATATTCCAAAAAATATTTCGTATTTATTGTAATAAAGATAATATCTCTAACAATGCCGTGCTGTTCTATTCGGTGGTGTGAGAAAAACAGCAAAACGTCTAATTACAAAACAAATGTAATAACATTTCATCGGTAATGAAATATTAAATATGTAATTTTGCAATTTTCGTCCATTATAGCAAAGCTCAAGTCAACTGGTCGTATGAATTGAAACAGTTGACGACACTCATTGACGACACCGGTCTGTTGTTTCGAACTCGGGCTAGCCAATCGGAGCGCAGTTGTCACAGTATTGATATGGCAGAATAGTTTTCAAACAAATTAAATGACATTTCCTCTCTATTTCTGGTTATATACTCGATTTTTTTAAATACATAAAATCAGCATACGCATTTGCAACCGCTGATGTGTAATAAACCTTTATCACTATCAACAATAGTGCATATCGTTTGGCCGCCGAGATATTTACATCTTATGTTTTTTTAATAATTTCAATTATTTTTTTTATAATATCGAGTGACGGGACGAACAAGTTGTATGCCTGGTGGTGACCGACCTTTTTTTTTTTTTTTTTTTTTATATAACAATTGCAGTGACACCGCGCCCGTCATCAAGAGACATAAGTTGCCAAGTCCCATGTGCCTGCAATTACACCAGCACCCTTACCCTTCAAAACCGGAACGCAATAACTGCTTGGCGGCAGAAATAGGCCTGGTAGATAGTACTTCCCTGGATGAACTCTTTCACAAGGAGCTCTACTAATGCTAATCGTGCTACATTCGGCATTAAGTTTTTTATTTTTTTATCAGTACGACTGTAGGCGAACCTTTTTGCAACAGCCAGTAGAATACAACATACTGAAAATGAAATTTCGGTTTCAAAATGGCGTATATTCGTTTTTTAAACAAACATCGTGAAAACCTAAGAACTAAAAAAAAGAAAAGTATGGTACCATATTACTAATAACAGTTCTTATTAAAAGCTAGTACGATACAATACCATGTTACAAATATAATAGTTCATATTAAAAATAACGATTAACTGTATTAAAATACAAAGCAAATTGGGTAACAAGTATGCAATACATACATACATATATAGACATACTTTATTTGCTTATACTTTATTTATAATAAGTATAAATTTATTAGACAATATCACATACGTTGCTCGCAGATCTACTAGGGTGAATTTCACTTTTGAATTTCAATGGCACTTTTTGAGTGATTTTTGTAAAACCCTTTTTTCTTCTGGTTTTAACGTCCTAAACTTACAAATAAGTTCAAGCAATATCAATAATTATAAAATCACAGAAATATTTAAGTTAAATACAACAAAAAACGATATTTTCGGTCACACGAATGAGATTGCAGTAACACGAATGATTTTCTCATAAACATAAATGAAAAAGACGGCACAGCAATGGGAAATTATTATTACAACACACATTTTATCGTTCACAAAAGAATATTTAACAACATTTAACATATAACAAATATTTTAATATAACTTCTTGTGCCAAAATCCTTCTCATCCATGTAAGACCATCTATCTACCTATATGTAATTAATTAATAAATCTAAATAAGTATTTTGTTAATGTTATATAAGCTTTGTTGTACATCAATATATCATCATCAGCATCATCATCATGATCACCATTATCATCAGCATCATTACCATTCACATCACCATCACAATCATGGTCATCATCACCACCATCATCATCGTTGCCACCGTCATCACCACCACTATCACCATCTAATTGTTATATTTCAAGTAAATGCTTGGCTTAAAGTAACTATTTGCCTTAAATGTAGACAAGAATGAGAGCGACAACAACGATATTATGGATACATTTTTAAAGTGATTTTAAAGTTCCCTTTGTCTAATTGATGCACAATAAAATTTATAAAACAATTACTTAATACTTATTTAGATAGATTGCTTTACATGAATGAGAACGATTTAGTCATTAGAGCTGTAATTGGTATTTAAGTCAATTTTTTGCTATAAACGGAGATGCACAGGTTACTTTACTGTGTACACTTCAATCCGAAAGGAGCCCCTTCACACGTGTGCGAAGGATGAAGGTGATGCGGTATGAACCTTTGTTATTAGGAGGCTTTTAGTTGAATTGACACTAATTATTTATTATATAAGTATTCCCAGGAAAACATGTTTGTTTATAAAAATTGGAAAGTTACGGTATGTTTTCGACATGTAAGTTATTAGAGTTTATCCTCGATTTCGAGCAACTCATTAGTTAGATTACCATTTTTTTCGTTTTATTAAAATACGTTAAGATTTCATGGTTTTTTTTTTTCATTTAATTAACCAATTTTGTGAGAGAGACGTTGTTCTTATAATTAACCCTATCGATCGATGCAATAAAAGTGCAGGGTGCATTTTGTTTTCAGATTAAAGCGGGTTCGATTCCCGCATGTTGCTAGAAATTTTCGAAAATCAATGAATGCAGTTTTATTTCTTTTAAAAAATAAAGGAATGTTTCCTTTAAGTAAAAATTTCTATCTCCAGTATTTAGAGTACTTTCCCTCCATGTGGCATTACAAATTTCCACCCTGTATACTATAAATATATTAATAAAATAATTTAATTTCAGTGCAAAATGGATATGTGTCTGGGTGAGCACTTGGGTTACATCAACACGGAAGGTCACTTAAACAGGGAAATGATGTCTAAAAAATTCAAAGATGTGTTTTCACTAATGACCAAGGTTTCGGAGCCTGTTCTTGCAAAGTGTATACTTGGCAATCCTTTAAATTATGGTGGTCCCGATATATGCGAACTTACGAGGGTGCGATACTGCTTCATGACACACTTTCTTGCGGTAAAATTCTTATTAAAGTGAAATAGTATTGTGATTGCGTTTAGATATCTTCTGATTGCATTATCAATTAAAAAACAAGTTCGATTCGCATTTTTAACCGATTTCAAAAAAAGGAGGAGGTATGCAATTCTACTGTATTTTTTATGTGAATGTTATGCGATTACTCCGGCTTCAGTTTTTTGACATTAAATAATTATACCTCTTTTATAAAAAAAAACAACTTGAATTGTTCAACCAACACATACCGACTCATCTGTAGAACAAAGATCTATATGATAGAGTCCTTGTTTTCAGGACATACTACATTTCGTTCGGTCTTCTTCGCTGTAGATGTCAGATCGACCGTTGTTGGATTTTATATTTCCGAAACGAAATAAGATATATAAATTCTCAAAACATCTTTACATAGGTTTTAGTTAGATTAACGATATTATTCTCGAAACGTTCTTAATCTCTTTTTGCTATATTTGCACACACACACACACACACACACACACACACACACACTCACCCAAACTGACACATAGATTAATTTATTTTTAGTCTGAAAAGTTAAAAGTTGATGTATTAACTTAAATTTTTGGTAGTTGTTGTTGAACACCAGTTTAGAAACTGAAGTAGTTTCGTTCAAAATGTTTAAATAACATAAGAGCAATATATGCCTATTACTATTATAGAAGAGCGGTGCTTCCTGATGCAGGTCCTACCAAGCCTAAAAAGAAACATCAGCCCCTGAATTATGCCATGTAAAATGAACAAATAAAACATTTCATTTTTATTATAATAGTTTGTGGAATTACAACAATTTGCCAAGATTTATTGGAAATTTTTTTAACGGAAAATGATTGAAATCCAATACACCTGATTTATCCCCTAGAATACCTTGCACTACCCTTAGAATATCTTCAAAATAAAATGAGACCAATACTGAAGTAGCTGCTCTCCTTTCAAAAAAAAAGAATCATAACAATCGGTTCACAAACGTCCGAGTATATCAGAAAATATGGCATACGTTGATCTCGAAGTAAGTAAAGCACTTGTGTTATGGAAATCAGAAACAGCGACGGCACCACAAACACTCAAACTCAAGATAATAATTATATTAAAGTTAGTTTTTTCTACATCGAACCCGGGACCTCGAAGATGGCGACACAATGAAATCTAGTATGCGAGTCACTCGACCACGGGGTTCGTCAAAAACGATTTAAGAACCTCCTCCTTTTTCCAAGTCGGTTGAAACACCCATTTGCTGGTACTATACCCTCATCATCATATTAGTGTTACACATTTCAGTTCATAATTACATACTGTACGTTTTGCTTATGAATGTATGATTACGACGGCAAAACAGAAACTTTCTTAGCCCGGAAGAATTTAAACAAGAACTCTTTGGTATTCATATTAGGAACTTCTTATGCATTTGTCATATATGTTTTTAAAAAATGGCGGCATTTTGAAAACTATGTGATATAAAACAATGATCTCAGTCAGCAACATAATTATCTCGCGCCACACCTTAGTATTGCTTCAAGAAGTATCAAATGTATTTATTAAATTTTTATTGAATTGATATTCAATTATTTTTTGTGAATTCACTCCACTAGTTTGTTATAATTATTAATACAAAGATCGAACACTCAGAAAAAACACTCAGAAAAAATTCCGTGTGAGAGTGAGAGTGTTCGATCTTTGTATTAATAATTATAACAAATGTATTTCTGTTTATAATATTGTCTGTGCAATCTTTTCTTGTAATTCACGTAAACATTATAGAGATTTGGTTATAATTTCGCCTGGTATGTACATATTAATAGAGGCAACATAACTATGCTCTTGTCGATAATGACGTAACACTCGGTAGAAGAAGCATTATATCTAAGATTATAACATTTTATTTTGTTTTTTTTTTTCAGTTTTGCCCAAGCCAACGTTCATCAGTAAGCTGTAAAAATTTAAGAGATTCGGCTTTGTCATGTATATCAGTGTAATTAAACCAATGTACTTTTTAAAAAGCTTCCAGGAAGAAAATAAAAAAGTTTTTAAAAGAATATTTTTGTAATACATTAATAAAAACAACAATATTATTTCAGAGAATTTTGGTTGCTTATCACAAAGTAAAGATTAAGTTAGCGTAGGCTTATTTTGTAATATACTTAAAAAAATACTTTTGGGATCATTGACTTACAATTATATGGACGTCGGGTCCGCGCTAAAAAGTGTCCGCACTTGTAAGGCGCTAAAATCGTATACAGAGCGCGACACTCCGCTTTAGTCTTCATTTGTTCTACTGACAGCGCGATACTGCGATGACATAACAATTTAAATTTCGAATAGGTTGACTTGGGACATTTTTTTCGTGGTTTTTGTATTAGACCCGTCGTCCATTTATTTGTAAGTCAATGTTTGGGATTGTAAAAATTCGAGCCAAGTTTATTTTGGGCAAATGTTCTTTCGGACTTCTGATAGGTAATTCCAAGCCGTAAATCGACTACAATATTTTATTAGTTATAAGTGAGATCCGTAGAAGAGCGAAAGTCAAGGCTTAAAAGTATTAGCAAGTTGAAGTGGCAGTGGGCACGGCACATAGCTCGTAGAACTGACGGCCGTTGGGCCAGAAAGGTTTTCAAATGGAGACCACAAACTGGTAGGCGTTCAGTGGGACGGCCCCCTACTAGAAGGACGGATGACTGATAAGGGTGGCGGGTAACCGATGAATGCACGTCGCGTCCAATCGGCTAGTCTGGAAATCTTTGGGGGAGGCAGTTCAGCTGCTGTTTAGCAGGGGAAATACCCGCGGTTTCCCGGTTATCCCGATACAAAAAAAATCAAAGATGGCGATAGATTTGACAATATCATGTAATTAGCGTTTTAAGTTTATCATTCTGTTTGTTGGCCTCTTAGAAGATAGAAAAAAACAAAGGAAATAAGCTGCCCTACCTACGGAATAAACGTACCTACCTAAACCAAAAATGTCCACCACAAATGGCGGATTTAGTGTTGTACCATAATCATAGATAAGTCAATATCGACATGCAAATGTATGGCTTGAATGTTGAAACTGTTGTTACTGTGTTTTATGTTTGCAATTTTGTGTAGTTTACTGTAATCAAAGTACGATTAATACTAGGCTATTATTACTAGGCAAGTAATGAGTCATTTTAATCAAAATTAAATATAAAGTTATTTACCAATAAATGTAACGATGGAATTGCATTATCATGTAATCTAGTTACTTCAAAGTGGAGCAAACAAATGGAGATGGTATTTGATCCAATGCTTGTGTTCGGCAGTCCTATAATTTCCAACCATTCTTTCTTTCTTTTTTCATTTGTAGGTGAAATTTAAAAATAATAATAATTAAATAATAAAAATCTCGCAGTGAATTGTTTTATTAACAGAATATCGATAATATGTCTGCTTTCTAGAACAACACTATCTCAAAATAATCGTTATCAACAATCATCAAAATATACTAACAAACAGACAATCTAAAGTTACCAAAGCAAAATTCTAAGAAATAAACCACTTAAATGAATCTAATTACATGAGATATTTGGGTATGTTTATAGTTAGAAAAATGACACATGCCTTTGCTATGTAACATTCGGCTGATTTCCGATTTTCTACTGCCGCATCCCTTAATGCTGCAGCGACGCATTTTTTTT